ATAGACGCAGCAGCATGTGGTACTCTCTGGGCAGGTGTAGTAGTTATCACAGACTGTGGGTGGCTTAACAGGGGAAGGTGGAGATGGACCAGGGTTTGGTGGGTTCTGGCCCTTCTTAATGGGGTATGAGGCCTCCATTGCAATACCACACTTGCCAGTGGCAGATGCAATATTACGTTCCATTCGTATGTATCCAGCCTCGCCCCAGTCTTCACCCCATGAGTTCTTCACAAGCCAGTAGTCCTGGCCATTCTTGGAGCCATAGCCTACGGCAGTCACACCATGATCTAGTGCAGTCCCACAAGATCCGGTGAATATTCCCTGAAAAAAAATTGGAGTAATAATTTTTTCAACTCATCAACATGAAAGACATCTATAGATTTGAAGGAAGGAAAGTAGCAGCTTGGAAAAAAAAAAGACTTGTGGACATTATATATATATATATATATATATATATATATATATATATATATATATATATATATATATATATTAGGCAGCAAACTGGAGATATATGTACATCACATATCACAAAGCAAATCCATCATCAAATGGAACCTGTGCCACTGCTCAGATGGTATCATCTAAATCATTCACAGAATTTCAAGAAGAAGATTACTAACCAACTAAATTTCATATCACAAACAATAGATCATAATTCTCAAACCATGCCGCTTAATGCATTTGTATTATCATGGAAAGGGTTTAATTAAGAATTTCTATTTCTAGTGGCATTTGTCTATTTGCAGTGTCTTCCATATTAATTAACCACACATTAGAAATTATAACAGTCTAGAGAAAAAAACCACAGATTCATAAAAATATTTAGGGAATCTAAATTCTGATGCAACATAAACATATTATGGTCCTTATAATAGGCAAACTGACTAATCATATATGCTATTTGCTAATGATATTATTTTAATATATGGAATTTTAGCTGGAATAAAATTTTAAACTTGAATTACCGAGTCAAATCTCAGAAATTAAAGGTTCTAGATTAAAATTTACTAAGATTGAATATGAACTATAATTTTAGATAATTTAAGAGAAGAAGTGAGGATGAAGTCAGGATGGATGGATAAGAAGGTCATACATGAAAATTATTTTAAATATTTTTAAATTTATCATTCAACATGGTAAAAAGGATTAATGGAGATATTTTTCATAAGTTTGATGGTTAAGATGGAGAGGGAGATTGAGTATAAAAGATTGTTGTGGCTTAATGAATTGAAGTATTGGACAGTTGAAAATCAATATATATGAAAAGCTTGTATAGCTCACATGAAAACGCAAGATAGGTATGCAGAGCCACAAGAAAAGATTAAACAGATATTTATTTGTGAACAATTGGTTGTAATCCGATAAACTATAAAATAAGAAAAAATCATCTAAGATATTATAAAAATATTCAACAAAAATCTGTAGATAGTATGGTTAGAAGAGGTGAGTTGATTAATGGTGGTGCGAGAAAAAATTGGAGAGAGAGAGAGAGACTGAAAATTTCTTTACTAAAAACAATAAAGGAAAATTGAATGTCCTTGACTTAACCAGAAATATTGTGTTGAATGGAGTTCAATCAGTAAAAAAGATATTTATAATCAGTCCCAAATTGTTAAAACATTTGTTGTTGCTGTATCAAATGACAATCTATTCAATTAGAAGTGATCAAAGATTTTCAACCTAGGTCACCATAATGTGGAAGTATAAAAGTCTGCAAGCTTCCATAAGGATTAGAACATCGGTTCAAAGAAAATCAAGTTGTAGTTTAAGCCGTGACATAATTTTATAAACAAAGAATATTGGTAGAAATATAAAATTGCATTATCTTGTGGCAACTTTACCGTGTCATAAAGCTGGAATGTCCTGCCACCAGCTTCAATAGCAACACTAACCGGTTGGTTAGCAACTGCTTTTTGCAGAGACTTCTCATCGTTAACCGGAACATCCTCATATGCGTCAATTGCCACAACATGTGCATTTTTCTACATGACAAAGGTGGGCACCAAACCTCATTAGAACATCACCCACAAACAACAAAGCAACAGGAAAAAAAGGGGGTTGCTAGTTTCAAATGACTAATCAATAGGTCACCCTGTAAGTATCGCAAGTTCCATCTCGGGCCTTGTATGGGTAGTCCTCATCGGTGTCGATACCACCATTGTTGATGATGAACTCAAAGGCATAATCCATGAGCCCCCCGTTGCAGCCCTGGTTGTAGTAGGTGTCGCAGTCCACCAATTCCTGCTCGGACAGAGAGATCAGGTCGCCGGTCACGATCTGGTTGATACCTTCCACAGCAGCAATCGTCGAAAATGCCCAGCAGCTCCCTGTGACACCAACAGATCTAGATATCATCAGCATGCCAATTCAGATCTTTGAAACCAAAAAATCATTCATTGGTGACTTGATCTAACAGGATAAGATCCTGAATCATGAACTAAGTGTGATACTAGCAGTTAATAATTTTGTAGAGTAAGCGAAATTTACACAAGAAGGGGGGCTGAAACAGAATCTGAAAGCAGATCTATTCGCAGATCATCCAAAATACAACACCTTTGGTACATCATAGTAAGCAAAATCATGTCGTTTACCAAAAGTCAAAACAGAAGAAAAGGGTAAAAATCATAACTTCACAAGGAGGGGAAAAAAGGGGAAAAGATCTATCTTCATGTAAATGTAATTAAATGAAAATAATATCAGATTTAAAGTGTTATTAGCAGAAACCAAACAGAAAAATAGAGCAGAAATTGCAACTAATTGAAGTCAACGCAGGGAGAAATGGTAATATCAGCACCCACCGCAGCTGCCTTGATCTTTAACGCCGACAACAGCGCCCTTCTCCCTCCAATCGATTGAATCAGGCAAATCATCGCCGTCCCTCAGCCGGTACCGGTTGCTGCCCTCCGATGAGGCCCTCCTCCTGCGGGACGCGGCGGCCCGGACGCCTAGGTACTTGGCCCGGTACTCCTCGTTGGTCAGGTCGGCGAACCGGTTGAGGCCGAGGCGGAAGGCGTGCTCCCCGCGGTCGGCCGCCGCGTTATGGGCGTCGATGTAGCGGAGGTTGTCCTTGAACACCTCGAACCGGCTCGCCTCTTCCGCAAGCGCGTTGCGGGACGGCCGGTGCTTGGCCACCCACTCCAGGTAGAGCAGACCCACCTCCTCCTCGCTCCGCCCGGACACCTGCTCGCTGTGGCCCTCCCCGCTTGTCACCATGTACAAGTCGGGGACAGCTGAGGCGACCACCGCCGCGGCCAAGAGAAGGAAGATGAGAGAAGAAGCCATAAGGACGGAAAGGAGGTGAGGAGGATATCTAATTCAAGATTGGCCACTCCAAGGCATGTTATATTGAATGAATGGAGTGTGAGAAGATTGACGTCGGTACATATTTATAATTTTTATTTATTTATTTATTATATATATATATATGTGTGTGTGTGTGAGAAGAGAGGATATACTTATTTATTTAGTAATTCATCTTTGTAAAAAATAATGGCAATGTAATAAATAAAGATACAGAGAGGCAGAGTGACGTGGAAAAATCACAGCCAAACAAACCAAAAGCAATAAAGCAAGCAGTCGATGATGGCATATGGCAGATTCCGCCTCGACTGCTGAATTAGGTGAACAGGGTTCAGCAATCTCGACTTACGACACCTCCACGTCAACCATGGTGCCAAAAAGGGTAGAAGCAGCAACTCTCAAGTACTTGGAATGATACAAACAAGTTTGCTGATGCCATTTGCCAGTAGCATCAGTACCAACATAAAATCCATGGAGAGAGTTTATAGGCAAATTACTGGAAATCCAATTTCAGTTAATTTACATGATAATGGAAGTGAAGTAATGTAAAATCATCATTTCAGTTGTCCAACACCTGGACTTATAGACATGTACAAGAGCTTCTAGTCTTCTTCAATAAGCATTGCAGCAAATTGCTGCATCTCAAGTCCACATTGAAGGCAAGGACATCCATAATTGATAATCATCTTGTGCTTCTCGCTCCTCACCTGCTCAATGTGGCTTATGCGCTGCTCCTCTTGCCCTCCGAGATAGAGTGAGCCCAGTAGGGAATTGCTGGAGTGCGTTTGGAAGCCTTCACTCTAAGTGGACTGTTCTTGCTCTGTTAATCAAATCAGATGGACAAGTTAGGGAATAAGACATCGAAACCAGAACAATTCATATAGAGATAGAGCAAACTGAAACACTAGCAATCATCTCTCTCTTTCATGTGTGTTTTAACCATAAAAAAGAATCAATAAGTCAATTTCCTTTGTTGCTTTCTCAAACACAGTGCAACTCAATCAGACTGAGACTTACCAGGATTATCTGGCTCATATAGCTCAAATGGGTAATCTAACCCCGCTTATTTGTTTCAATATTATTTTTCTCTGTTCAGTTTTTGGAACACCCAACACAAATCCTACGTTGAAAATTCAATTAATTATGTTCGGGACAAAACTGGCTGATGTCATCATACATGATGGTTGGACACCAACACAAGCCAAAAAACCGGAAGGTTTAAGTTTGTGGGTCAAATTCAATGTATAAGACCTGATTTCTTTATCCTTTAGCCATATAGGACTAATCTATCATTTATCTTTATCTCTATCTCAATTATGGATGCTTTCCTACACCCTTAAATTTTATGTAACAAAGACTGTATGATGGCAGCTGAGCAGACTAATGAAAGTAATTTTTCATCGTAGGGATTACCATTAGGCAGGTTCCTTCCTGAACATTGCAGATGGGGTAGTCATGAGGACAGCAGCTGTAATGATCTTCACAGCAGGTTGCAGCCTCAAGAGGACAGCATCCCCATGCAAAGCAGTAGCTCCCGTACTC